CCGGAGCGAGTGAGGGCCCGCCGCCGAAGTGCCGCCGAAGACACCCGGAGCGAGTGAGGGCCCGCCGCCGAAGACACCCGGAGCGAGTGAGGGCCTGCCGCCAAAGTGCCGCCGAAGACACCCGGAGAGAGTGAGGGCCGGCCGCCGAAGTGCCGCCGAAGACACCCGGAGCGAGTGAGGGCCGGCCGCCGAAGTGCCGCCGAAGATACCCGGAGCGAGTGAGGGCCCGCCGCCGAAGTGCCGCCGAAGACACCCGGAGCGAGTGAGGGCCCGCTGCCGAAGTGCCGCCGAAGACACCCGGAGCGAGTGAGGGCCCGCCGCCGAAGTGCCGCCGAAGACACCCGGAGCGAGTGAGGGCCCGCCGCCGAAGTGCCGCCGAAGACCCGGAGCGCCGCTGGGTGAGTAAAAATTAAAAAGGTGCCAAGTTGCTCAGTGCGGGAGCTTCAGAGTAGCAGCCGTGTTAGTCTGTATCCGCAAAAAGAACAGGAGTACTTGTGGCACCTTAGAGACTAACAAATTTATTAGAGCATAAGCTTTCGTGGACTACAGCCCACTTCTTCGGATGCTGCTGCCCCGCTCCCCCCATAGCTACGCTACTGCAGCTCTGGTTGAATGGGAAGCCAACGGGAAATGCTAAGGAGAGGGGCATGACTGAAGCTCCTCCCCTCAAAGGGAGTTAGGCGCCTACCAAGATGTGCCTTCCTCCACTTAGGATTCACAACTGTGACCCTTCATGGAGTTAGGCACCTAAGCCAGGTCAGTCCTGTCTCACAAACAACGAGGATGGTGGTGCCTGCCTTATACCCAATGGCCCAGTGGTTAGCTCACTTACCCAGGATAGGGGAGACCTGCGTTCAAATCCTTCCTCTACCAAAGGTAGAGCAGGGACTTGAATCCAGTTCTCCCAAGCAAGTGCCCTAACAACTGGGCTATAGCGTGTTCTCTCGCCTGTGAAAGCTGCTTTATTTGGAACACCTCCAGTCTGGGGGCATTTGGATCCCAGACTTTAGTTTGAGCCCGTGTCTCCTCTGCACACTTTGAAGGTCTGATTTTCGAGGAAAGGAGCATTTCCAGCTCCCATTAGCTGCACCTGGCACTGTGGGAACTCAGCAATTTGGAAAACAAGCCACCTAATGTATGAACCTGACTCTCTGGAGCAGAACAGTTGAAGTTCCTAGTGCACTAGGCCTCAAGACAAGCACAGGCCGTGGGAGTGTAGCAGGCGATCAGCCCAGGTGACCTCGTTCATTTGCAGAACAGTTGTCATGTTACTGTACCGCTTCCTTCCCCTCTGCGGCCCCTCCCCCCCACTCCTTGCCCAAGGGACTGTGAGAGAACTAGGCAAAGTGAGAATAAATCCTTCTGTTCCAAAATGCCATCTGGCCCCTGACAGTTGCATTTCAGCTTCACAGCCT